CGATTGGCAGCCAAGATCGGGTGATCGATGACGCCGCTAGACTTTTTTCCTCTAGGGATATATAAAGTCTAAAGTCTATACCCACAATCACACTTCGATTCCGGCCTTGGAGCAAAACATCACGCGTACCAGTCGAAATGCCCGAAAGAGTTATCGAAAATTGGACTCAACGGAACGGACAACAACAAAAACAACAATTTCGTGCACAGCTTCTTTTAAATTGTTGCAAATATAACGGAAGACTACCACCACTTATCAGCCGTGCTTAAAACTACAACATACTACATTAATGAATACATATGTACATGCATACAGACTCGTACATACATTCGCATGAATTAACCTTAAATATTTGGGTGTGTGTGTGTGTATGTATGAATATTATATTAAAGTTAATTGTTGAAAGGAGAACAGACGCAATGTAGTACAACAACAATTACAACTAACTACAAATACCCCAACAACAGCAACAACAATAAACACAATGAGAACAATGAAAAGCGTCAAAATGTAAACACGCAGATTGTCAGCGGAAGTTGTTGAGCTCATCTGGTGAACTTCATTCTTAAACACACACACATACATATGTATGTATGTCTTTCTAAAGGTTCTTCTTCTTTATTTTCTTTAATTTATTTTTTTTGTTTCGTTTTTTTTTTTTTTGTTTTATTGTGCACTTGATTATTGACCGTAAAGCGGAACAGACTTTAGTTTTCTGGTTTGTTTATTTTAAAAAAACTAACTACCAAAAAACCAGTATTCTACAATAGAATGCACCGTTATTTTCATAAATCTATGCTTTTCTAATGATAAATGTGAAATCATAAGGAGTACTGGAAGTATGTATAAATATGTACTTATATATGAACTAGGTAAATAAACACACATACATGTATATACGGATATCTAAAAAATATTTTAAAATATAGGATTTTCCTTAAAGCCGGCCACAATCGGTCAAAAAATCTTTTATATAGGACCTTTTACCCCTGACCACTCATGGGACTAATATTGAATGTTACCAATATTTAAAATAAGTACAAATATATAAGTGTAAGTGTATGTAAAAGGTGATTTTTAAAAGCTATTGGAAAGTTTAAAAAAATAACACATAAAATTCAGAAAAATGCATGAAACCATTATTTGTATCGATAGTGCGGTCCATATAATTTCAAGTTTGAAGATTATTTCATCGAAATGCTGACCTTGACTGTGCCTCAAATGGTCCATCCGCTTAGCTCAATTTCGGCATACTCTTTCCAACCTTTCGGCCGGTATCTCACGAATGATGCTTCAATGTTGTCCTCCAATGTGTCAACTGAAGCGTGATTGTCTGTAAAGACATTCGATTTAACAAAACAAAGGCGGCCAATTGACCGGCCCGGAAAATAAAATGCTCACCAAGCTCGCCTCTCAATAAGTCCATTGTTATGCTTGATGTGTGGCGTGTGGCATCATCTAGTTGAAACGACATGTCTTGCAAGTCAACCTCTTACATTTTGAGCAACAATGAGTTTGATATCACCTCATGGTAGCGCTCACTATTCACAGTTACGTTACGATTCGCATCATCTTTGAAGAAGTACGGTCCAATGCCGCACCAAAGTGCAAACTGAAGATATTTTTCGGTGATCAATGATTCGGTGTTGCCGAAAAGATAATAGCTAAAAAATCACCCTCTATATACAAACATTAATCAATAAATAAAATGAGGTTACGTCCAAAAGTATCAGCAACTAGATTTAACCATAACAAATGACCAACTGATTTGCGTTCATATGTTTTTGTCAAGAGATATTATAATCAATAAAGCCTATTTTAGCAAGACAAAAATTGTTAACGGTCCACATCGTTATCCTATTAATAATAACACCACATTTAATTTTTGCCATATTACGAGCCCATATACACATGCATACATATACACAAAAGAGCAAGAAAACGAATCACTGTCTGACCAATTGGAACGCCCATAAACCGTCTCTCATTTACGAAAAGAGCAGCTAACAACTGCTTTTCTTATATAGTACAAGCAGCAAACGGTTAAATTGCAAAGCAACAACAACATTAGCAAATAACAATTGCCAATAGCAGGCAACAAGGCAACCGTAAGCCAAAAAATCTAAATCCAAACTAATAGCCCAATAACAACAATAGCCCAAAACACACAAGACAAATAGACAAGAAAATGCTGCAACCCAAAGTGCGACTGCGCAACTAACTGCCGCCACCGCCGCCACCGCCACCGCCGCCGCTGCTGCTGTTGCTGCTTCAGACAAGTAAACATCAATGCAACAGCAACAACGATAACAACATTTAAACCAACCGTAATTTGGCAAATTATTTTACCTGTTTTTGGTTGTTTCTATTTTTTGTTTTATTTTTTTTCGTCGTTCTCTGCAGCTTCAACGGATTTCTGCAACAAAAAGTTACGACGAAAATTCAACAATCTCCAATGGAGTTATTTTGCCACTTTTTTCTGCATTAGCAACATTTCATCAACACGTCATTGCAATACAATACTCTATTGTAATTTAAAATTCAGCTACAAAATGTACAATAACAACTATGACAGGAAGGTGAGTGAGTCGACGGACTTACTGGCAAGCACAGAAAAGTGCTAAATCACAGTTACTTAACAGCACGTAGTATAGTTTTATTTATATTTATTTACTTAATACATTTCGAATAATTTTATATTAATTTTTATGTGACTTTTGTATGATTTCATTTTTTATACCACATACATTCGAAATGTATTCAACTAAATAAATATAAATATTTCTTTATGTCATTAACTTCATTTTCCTTTGATTAATTTTTTTTTTTTTAATTTTCTAATTCATTTTATTGTCACTTATGTTTTTATATTTATTTCAATTAATTTGTTTTAGTTCTTTTCCATTTGTTTATATATTATTTGTTATTAAATTTTACTTTTCATAAAATTTAATTTAATATATAATATTTATATTAATTTAATGTCCTGTTGGTTGATTTAACTTAATTTTATTTTTTGTATTTGTACTATTTTTTTTTTTAATTTATTTAAAATGTATTTTCAATTTTTTCATATCATCTTAAAATAATTACATTTCATATATTTTAGTGTATTTTATTTATTTCAATTTATTTTTCTTTGTTATTTTAAATATGTAGTTTCATTTAGCTTAACAAAACACTCAAATTTAATATATTTTTTATCATCCTTTAGTTAATTTTATGTAATTTTTTTTTTATTTTATATAATTTTCTTTTATTCTTATTTTAATTATTTTATTTTCTTTATGATTATTTTTGTTTTTTGTATATTGTTTTATTTTGTTCTGTTCTATTCTATTTAATCTCATTTCATTTCTTTTTATTGAACTTATTTTATATTAGTTTATTTTATTTTTTTTCGCTTTATATTATATTAAAATATTTTCTTTAACTTTATTTATTTTATTTGGTTTTAACTTCAATTATTTTATTAAACTTTTTTTTATTTAAGTTTAATTGCTTAAAATATTTAATTTTTTTAATTTAATATTTTTATTTGACTTTTTTATTTAGTCATTTAATTTGATTTTATTTTTTATTTTGTTATTTTATATTAGTTTATTTTTATTTATTTATTTAATTTTATTTTATTTCAAATTATTGGATTTAATATTTTTTTTTTATTTTTTACTTTATTGTATTTCATTTTATTTAATTTTAATTTTTTTCTTTTAGTTTAGCTATTTTATTTAACTTTAATTTAGGCAAACTTACTTAACTGTTTTTAATTTAATACTATTTTATTTAAATTATTTTAATTAACTTTTTCATTTAAATTAATTTAATTTAATTCAATTTTTTAATTTTATATTATTTTTTTTTGTTTATATTATTTTATTTTAACCTTAATTATATTTTATTTTTTATTACAATTTATTTGATCTAATTTTATTTTATTTTACTTAATTGTATTTTATTTTATTTTAATTAGAAATATCTTCTTTTAGTTTTTTTATTTTATTTGATTTTAATTTAAATTAATTTATTAAACTGTATTTTATTTTATTTTCATTTATTTTAGTTTATGTTAGTGTATTTTATTTTATTTATTTTTATTTTTATTTTATATTTGCTTTTATATTATATTATTTTGTTTTGTTTTGTTTTGCTTTGTTTTTTATTGCAATTATTTTCAGTATATCTGCCTTTTTCATTTTATTTATTTAAAAAAGATTACTAAATTTATTAAAATTTAGTTAAATATAGTTTTGCTCTATTTCATTTCATTTTATGTTTTTTAATTTTATTAGTTTCAATTTTACAAAACAAAAAGTGTTTGTTTAGATGCAATTGATGTAAGATTGTTGATAATTAATTTAGCTGTTTGTTTTATTTGGACCTCTGTAAGCTTTATTTTCTTTAATTCAATACATTTTTATTTCATTTATTTAAATTTAGTATATTAAATTTATTGAATTAATTTAATTTATTTCGAATTTATTTGTTTTTTTTCTTTATCTGCAATTTCGTTTCAAATTGTTTCAAACACAATAACAAAAAAAAAATGTGTAGCTGAGTTGTGTATATAGAGAAATATAAATTTTTCTTGTAAGTAGATTTTGTTTCGAACAAATACAAGCGCATCACTGAAACGAAACGGCAAAGAGATTTCACCACCGTAAAACAAACAGAACATGTGTTTATGTTTTGCTTACAAAAGAGTAAATATAATTGAGTGTGTATGTGCATTACACACATAGGTATGCCATCTGCACGTAGTATGTATGTACCTGTATGCATTTGTTTATCAAGAGAGCAGAAGAAAACGGTCAGTGTTAACATGGGAGAACTGTCGGATTCGTCTTTGCCTGCGTTTGCGTGTAAATGCTCGCTCTCTAACTCTCTCTCGCTCTCTCGCTTCATGAAAGCGAGGCAACCGATTTAAAACAAAGCAAAACAGAATTCGAATCTTGTTTCGTTTCGACTTCCACTGTCGTGTTTAGTTTTTCTGTCGTGACTGTTAAATATGGATGTGGATGCGGAAAAGTTGTTGAAGTTAGTGAAGGCGAGACAACCTATCTATATAAGAAAAACTAATGGAAATAAAAAGAAATTATGGCAAGAAATAGCCGCGGAAATGAATTGGTCAGGTAAGAAAATTTAAATCTTTTTGGGTCTATTTGGGAATTGATAATTAAAAATATCATTATTTCTTAGTGACGGATTGTAAAACTAAATGGATGTGTTTACGCAACGCTTACTGCAGACATTTGCGAGGTCTTCCGTTGGACCGGTATGGGAAAGAGCGAAGGAAATGGTATTTAGCTGATGCTATGGCATTCCTAAGTCCACATGTTCGTTCGAATTATAGTGGTAACAACAGTCTGGATAGTCAAGACGCTGAGGAGTTTAAAAGCGAAACAGCGAGTGTTCTAGACGAAAGTGTTCATTCAATTACAAGCTCAATCGCGAGTGCTGAGGAAGACGTGCACGTTTTTGGGAGCGTAAAATACGAACTGAGTCCTGAAACTAAAGTAGAGATATCTGATGGTTTTGTACAAGAAGATGGCACAGAAGTTGGCTACGAGGAACCAGAAGATGGAGGAAAAGTCTATTTTCCCGAGTGTAGCTTGGGAGGACCACAGGAAGATGCCGACACAGAAGCTACCTTGGCGCATCGAGTGGGTGGAGAAAAAGTCTATTTTCCAGAGTGTAGCTTGGGAAGACCACAGGAAGATACTGGCAGAGAAGTTACCTTCGCACAACCAGAAGATAGAGAAAAAGTTTATTTTCCAGGGTGCAGCTTGGGGCAACCACGGGAAGATGCAAACCTCTTATTTTTTAAAAGCTTATATGCCGATTACGGAAAACTATCCAGCAGACGACAGCGAGCATTTAAAATGCAAATGTTAAATAAAATGCAGGAGTTACAGGAAGAGGATGAAAATGAGCTCTTAGGCATGCGTAGACCACCTCAAACAGGGCCTCCTGGCAATATAACCTTTAAAGGTTTTCAAAACTGAAAGTTTTTTTTATAATTTAAGAAAGTTACGAAGAATAATATTTAATATGGAAACTCAGTTTTAGTGTGTACCTAATTTCGTAATATGAATACTTAGGGTTTTGTGTAACTAGAGCTGCTTGAACTGCAGCGCATCGTACATAAACCAGTTTGGGATTAGTCGCTTTCTTAAGCCCAAATTGTAGGCCACCCAAGGTAATGGTTTTTGACCGCCAAAATGTGTACCGCAGGGAAAAACGAAAAAATGTGAAAGGGATACCGAGATCGAGCATCTCGAACGAACAATGTTGGCTTCTGAAACCAATAAAGAATCGCTCATGCTGTCAGGCGTTACTTTGAACTGAGTAAGCAATTGAAAAGTAAAGTCCTATCTCACTCCGATCAAACCTTATGGCGCAGAAACATGGCCGGTTTCGACCGACAAATCAGTACTAAGGGGTTTCAAAGGAAATTTTTAACCAAAAGTTAATGGTAGTTTGAGCATTGGCAACACCAAACACCGCAGACTGTATGACTTGTACTTTGAAATAGGCAAATCTATGAATTTCAGCGAATAGAGAAAAGGCGACTACGCTGGTATGGTCATGTCGTTCGAATATATGAAGACACTCCAGCTTTGTAGTAAAAGTTGATGGAAATAGAAGAAGGTTTGGAGACACGACGGGTGATCTTTTTTCATTCGGCTGCAATCGAGAAGGTGGAGGGTGAGCAGAGTGCAGATCATTTGAGAGGAATAAATAAAATAAAATAAATAATAAATAATAAATATACCATAATCCACAAAGGAAATTAAATAACTCGACTCTTGCGTTTATTTTTAATTTCTTCCCATTAGCAAACCTGATGACGAAGTCAAAAAAAATTAATAACGTTAGGCGACCCAAAGTATTCGAACCTTTGGGTCATTATTTTCAACCGTTGGTCTACAGATTATTCGAAACTATATTCCAGGTCGAGGCTATACGTGGAGCTTATTCCCGCGGAGAGAGAGAACAAGAGAGTGATTTGCAGCAGCGCTAAAATTGCGAAAAGATGAGCGAAAATATTTTTTATTTCCACTTTTTGGAAGTAGAAATGGTGTTGCCATTTTTTCAGATTTTCAAATAAAATTGTTTTCTGGGTTAAGTGACGTCGCGCGTCATGACATGCCAAGAGCAAAAAGAATGAGGCTCATGGACAACTCAACGACCGCGGAGCGGCAGCAGCAACAATAGCAAAAGCGACAGATTGGACTACCCACTGACAACGGAGTTACGAGTTAAAGAAATCCGGCTAACTGACTGACTGACGGACTGACCGACTGATGGTCTAATCGACACAAAGATGGCAAATGGTTGGACATGAAAAGCGGCAAATGAGCGCATGACTTTTTTTCGTATTACTAATATAATATAAATATACAAAAATAAATATATATGTACATATGTATATATGTATAAATCTCGAAACTATTTTCTGTCGCTCAATGAGTGCCAAACAATTGCTAGCTACATACATATCTGCAGATTGGGGCGAGGGGGCAAACAAAGCGCAGCGCTTGTAGTTGCAACGCTTAGCGGTGTTGTGACTGACAGTTGAATAAAGAGAAAAGTAACTGCTACAACATGCGCTTGCAACATATTCATTTATTGTATTTAACTGTGCAACAGTGAATATTTTTATGTTTTTGTGTGTTTGTTGTTGTTTTTTTTTCTTTTTTTTTACAAATTGGCATCACCGACTCTTGTTTGTTGTTGGGCTTTTATGTATAATATTTTATCGTTTTTCGCCATTTTTCTGATATACTTACATACATAATAACTTATATATAATACATGCACACGCATATTTGACGGGCTATAGTAGATTTCATTGTTTTCGCTCTATGCGCGCATGTTTGTGTGTATTTGTATGTGATTCTGTGAATTTGTGAAAATTGGCGAAAGATACTTTTCAAATGGCACACAGTCTGTTCATCAAGGTTCAAGCATCGAGGTGGAGCAAATATTTTGTTTAAGGATATGTATATGTTTCTATATGTACAAATGTATATGTTTGTATATGTATGTAGATATGAAATCACCTGCTGATATCTCTCTAAGCATGCTTGAGCCGATGACAAATTGTAAAAATATGTCATTAATATATATTATTTTAATTTAATGAAGTTAATTTCATGTTAATTCATTTGGTTTATCAGAATTTTTTGTTTCGTTTTATTTAATTTAATTTAAATTATTTAAATTTGATTTATTTTACTCTCTTTGACATAATTTTTTTTAATCTTATCTATTTTTAATTTTATTATATTTGATATAATTTATTTAAATTTGTTTTGTTTTCCTTTCTTTATTTTATTTTATTTTAACTTATTTTATTAAATTTTACTTCATTTAATTGTATGTAATTTAATATATTAAATTAATTTTGTGTTAATTTTTTTATTTTTTTTTAAATTATTTTGTTTTATATTTTTTATGTTTTATTTTATCTTATTTAATTTTATTATATTTTATATAGTTTATTTAAATTTGTTTTATCTTACTTTTGTTATTATCTTTTATTTAATTAATTTTATACTATTTTACTTTATTGTTTGTTTATTTTGTTTTATTTTTTTACTTTATTTAATTGAATGCAATTTAATATATTTAATTTTTTTTATGTGTAGTTTTAATTTATTTTATTTATTTTGTGTAATTTTTTTCTTTTATCTTAATTTATTTTGTCTTATTTTATTTTTCTTTATTTTGTTTTAATAATTTTATTTAAATTTGTTTAATTTTACTTTCAATTATATCTTATTAATTTTTTTTATTATATTTTATTTTAATTTATTTTATTTTACTTTATTTATTATATTTTATTTTATATTTTATTTTAATTTATTTTATTTTACTTTGTTTTATCGTATGTAATTTAATTTATTTAATTTTTTTGTGTAATTTTATTTTAATTTATTTACTTTGTTTACATTTTTTAATTTATTTTGTTTCATTTTATTTTGTTTTATATTATATTAAGTTTTATTTTATTATCTTATTTGATTTTATTTTATTTTATATTATTTTATATTATATTCTTTTATTTATTATATTTTATTTAATTTTCTTTCTTTATTTTAGTTTATTTTATATTTTGCTATTTTTATTTTGCTTTATTTATTTATTTTACTTTATTTTATTATTTTTATATTTGTTTTATTTTCTCTGTTTTATTTTGATTTAATTTAATTTTATTTATTTTTGTTTATCTCAAGCTATTTACTTTATTTATTTTACTTTAGTAAACTAGATTTAATTTAATAACAATTTTTTATTTTGTTTTTTTAATTAATTTGATTTATTGTGTTTTTATTTCCGACCGATTATTTTAAATTCTTTTATTTTTCATTTTAATACATTTTATTTTATTCTTTGTTTTTATTACAATTTAATTACATTTTTGGTATTTTATTTTAGCAATTTTTTGTTTTTAACATTGTTATTTCCTACACTTAATTTATTTTTCCATAATTTAATTCTTTTATTGAAATTATTTAAATTGAAGTTTATCTACTTTAATTATTTTTAATTTAATTGGTCCACCTTTTTCATTTTGTTATCTTCTTTTATTTATACTGTAATGGTTTTTGAATACAATAACAAAATTAAATTTTGTGCCTGACTTGTGTATTTAAGAAAGTGAATAGAAACACAAGCGCGTCACGGAAACGAAATGGTAAAGAGATTTCACCACCGTACAGTGGCGTTGTTGCTATAAAACAAACAGAACATGTGTTTATGTTTAGTTAGCAAAACAGGAAATATAATTGAATTTGTATGTGCATTACACACACATTTGTATGCCATATGTACACAGTATGTATGTACCTGATTGCAGCAAAACAAAAGCATTTGTTTATCAAGAGAGCAGAACAAAACAGTCAGTGGAAAAGGGGAGAACTGTACTTCGTCTTTGCTTGCACTTGCGAGTGAATGTTCGCTCTCTTTCTCTCTATCACATCATGAAAGCGAAGGCAAACGATTTAATACAAAGCGAAACAGATTTTGAATTTTGTTTCTTTTCGAGTCCACTCACGTGTTTAGTTTCTGTGTTGTAATAGTTCGAGATGGATGTGGACGCGCTCAACTTGGTGAAGTTAGTAAAAGCGAGACCGGCTATCTATATCACAAAAAAACAAGGAGATAAAGCGAAATTATGGCAAGAAATCGCGGCAGAAATGAATTGGTCAGGTAAGAAAATTTTAGTCTTTTTTCTGAGTAATGAGTAACTGAAAATATTTTTATTTTTTAGTGTCCGAATGCAAGAAGAAATGGCTGTGTCTACGCATCGCTTACTGTAGATATGTGCGTGGCGAAACTCGTACGTTAAATCGGCTTGGAAGAGAGCGAAGGAAATGGTATTTGGCTGATCCATTGTCATTTTTAAAGCATCACGTTCGTGCGAGTCGTAGTGATAGCAATAGTTTGGACATTGAAGAGTTTCAGAAGAAAATAGGGAGTTGTCTAGATGAAAGTCTATACTCAATTACAAGTTCTGAGGAGCAAGTGCTTAACACCACCACACCATTTAAAGGCGTGAAATACGAATTGAGTCCGGAGACTAAGGATCATTTAATTGATGGTTTTATGCAAGAGGCTGGCAGAGAAGTTACCTTCGCGCCACCAGAAGATAGAGGAGAAGACTATTTTCAAGAACGTAGCTTGGGAAGACCCCAGGAAGAAGCTGGCAGAGAAGTTACCTTCGCGCAACCAGAAGATAGAGAAAAAGTTTATTTTCCAGAGTGTAGCTTGGGCAAACCACAGGAAGATGCAAACCTGTTATATTTTCAGAGTTTATTTGCCGATTACTGCAGATTATCAAGCAGACGACAAAGAGCTTTTAAAATGCACATGTTAAGTAAGCTGCAGGAGTTGCAGGAAGAGGATGAAACTGAGCTGGTAAACATGCGCAGACCGCCGCAATCTGGGCCTCCTGCAAATACAACTTTCGAAAGTTGGCAAAATTAAAGTTTCTTCTCAAAATTAATAATGTTAAGTTCTCATTTTAATTGCTTATTTACTTACTTATGTACACAGCGAATAAATAATAAAAAACAATTCTTAATTTCAATGTGTAACTTATTTCGTCACAAGAGAAGTGTGAAATTGAAGGAGAGGAATATAGTTTTCTCTGAGTTTTAGCTGCTTTATTCATGATATGAGAAACATATAATACGCCTTAGTTGCTGAAAAGCGTAATCTTTATCCGTATTCATTAGACAAATTTTTTTTACATGGATTTTAACGGTCATTGTGGCAGTAACTATTGAAATGCAAGTAGTTTACTTACTTACTACATTTTATATTGTTGTAGGGATAGTACGTATCAATTGTTCGATTGTTGTATTTGTATTTCAGACTTTTTTTCACACTCACTGTAAATACCGTTAGGTTAGCGCGCCGCCATGACGATATGCATTGGTGTGTTAAGCTAGAATTATTATTTTTTTATCGCAATCGGCTATGTTTTGAAGAAAAATGTGTTTTTGATCAATCAAATTCTTAGTAGCGGCTCAAGAATAGTTGACCAAAATTAAATTCCTTTTGTTTTTGGGACTAAAAAATTAAAGAATCATTAAGAACTATTCCTGTTATCAGTATTCTGTTTTATAATGTGGAAATTTTGATCATGCTGCATGTAGTGATGTCAAGACAAAATAATTGTATACTGGAGATACGGACTCTCATTAAAAAGGCGAAGGAAAAACCCACAGAGAAGTACAAAACATCATTGGTTGCTCCCCCACGATGGTCCGAAACGCTATAAAATACAAACTGGGTGTCGAAAACGTGGGCGGAAACGTGTAATTCCCACTCAATTGGTTAAGTCTGCTGTAAAATATTCCAAGCAATATCCGTTTGCGTCTGTCACTGAAATAAAAAAAAATCTCTAAATGTGAAAGCCAGCGTTGAATCTCTCTGCCGACGCTTACGGGAAAACGATCTGTCAGCTCGGAGCCCTAGAAAAGTGCCTTTTCTGACTAAACAATATGTTGTCGTTTGACTTGGCCTTTGACCAAATGGCGTAACGTTTTATGGACTATGGTCACGTTTTAGAGTCAAAAATTGTTGATGGGCAGTTTGTAAGGCCACCAAACAGCGCACTTAATCCAAAATATACCACTCAAACGGTAAAAGATGATGGATCCAGCATTATGGTTTGGGCATGCTTTTCGTGTTGGACCCATTCATTGAATCAAGGAGAGCATGCCACTAATTTGAATGCTTCAACAGGACAACGATCCGAAGCATACTAGCAAGCTTGCGAAGAAGTGGTTTGGAGACAACCGAGTAAATGTTATAGAATGGGCCCCACAGTCTCCTCACATTAACCCGATAGAAAATTTTTGGGCTGAGGTAAAGAAATCGCTGTCTGACTGTTATCCTACAAATAATTTACAATTATGGTAGTTGGTGGGCTCAATGCAACGTCGCTGTGCCGCCATAATTAATAATAATGGTTATACAACTAAATACTAAATTAATGTAAGATAAGTAGTTAATTGATAGCCAATGTGACAAAAAAAAACATTTTATTCAACCTTAATAAAAAAATCTTTAAAATATACCCTATAACGTGTAACACTACTATGATTTTGATCGCTTAAAAGCTTAGATTTTCGTGAAAAAAATATTATTATTTTTGTTTTTCATGACAAAGTGGCTCCAGGTTTTTTAACTAGCTTTAATTAGTGTTTTAACTACTAAAAATTTAAAATTAAACTGGTTTTGGTAAGCAAAAAAAATTTTTTTCCAACAGTGCTTGTCCGCGCTACTAATGTTATGACCGCAGCTGTATATGCTATACAGTGGGTCACAGCTTATTTGATACAGTAGCCGATATAAATTTCGAATCCAAATATTTTCTTAACTTCATATTTGTATATGATGTACTTCATTAATTTAACTCGCTTATTTCTGTATACACTATTTTACATTTTATATTCTACAATTATTTTATTTTAATTTTTTTAAAACCTTATTTAATAATATATTATTAAATTTTTTTATTTCGGTTTATGTTATTTTATATTCATTGATCTATTTAATTTTTTTATTTATTTTTTTTTATTATTTGATTTTAATTTATTTTTCGTTGATTTATTACATATTTTTATTTCTTTATCGTTTTTTTTTTATTTTATCTTATTATAAGTTATTTGATTTAAGTTTATATTATTTCATTTTATAGGATTTTAAAATATATTATCTAATCTAATAAAGTTTATTTTATTTCGGTTTATTTTATTTTAAGTTGGTTTAGGTTGTTTTATTTAGTTTTATCTTACTTTATTTAATTTAAATACGTTTTTTTATGTTTTATTTTATTTTATCTTATTTAATTTTATTTGAATTTATTAACTTAATTTTTTTAAATTTTTTACTTCGTTTTAATTTGTTGGATTTTAGGTTATATAATTTTTTTTAATTTATTGTGTTTATTTAATTTAATTTAGAGAATTTGGCTTTATTTTATTTGATATATATAAATTTTTTAATTCTATTTTAAATAGTTTTTTTCTTAAAGATTATTTTAAATAATTTTATTCATTTTTGTTTATTTTTTTTATTTATTTTAATTTTGTTTCATTTTGCTAAATTCTTTTTTTATTATATTTTTTTTATATCGCATTTTGTCAACATGTACTCCAACAACAAAAACTACCAAATTACTTTCACCTACAATTTTGGTGTATATTTTGCAAACTGAATAGACCTCGCCACCAACCAAGCCGCCACCAACTCGACACAACAATGACACATGTAATGGCGAACCTCACTAGGCTACGGCTGACCACAATGACCTAATCTTTGTTGGTCAAACTAACACCAAGCGCTTAGAGGCGCCTTCATCAACTGTCGAGAGGAGAGTGGTCAGCAGAGGACGGAAGGAATTTCAAATGGCTGCGCATGCGCTAAAGTGGCTATAAATTACAGTTAATTGTTGCGCCGCACATAATGATCTGTCAACAACAATAACAACAACTACACTAGAGACCATCAAAATAACAAGCGAATGGCACACGCTACAACACCCCCACGCTTCTACAAGCGGCAAATAAAAATGAAAATTCACAAGGAAAAATAAAAGATTTTAATTTTCGCTAAAGTATTTAAAAAAAGAAACGGTAAATGCGAAAATTTTGACTTTTTCCTCAAAAGAAATGGCAAAAATCACATGCGCCACTATTTGTGGCAATAACAGCGTAGAAACCTGAAGCATTGGTTTTTGTTGTTTGTTGTAACCCCATACATGATACCATCACACACACACACACATACAAAGGCTATTTCATGCTACAAATTGCCACTTGCCAGCAATGATTAGCTGCAGTATCAGCATCTGCAACAACAACAAACAGTAGTTACAACAACAGGAGTGAAAAGTAAACAAATCTTTTTCGGTATTTTTAACGCTGACTTTCTTTTTTGCGCTTTTCAGTCGCAGCAGCGAAAGGGAAAATTGCATTTTATGACCAATGTTGTGGCAAATATTGTTGCACTTTTGTTGTTGTTGCTGCTTTCGTGCGCAGGCGCGGTTTGCTGCAAGTTACAAGCATCACTTTGCTCATTGCTTTTCCTAATAAAGGGAATAAATTGGGAAAAATCAATTTTAATAGAGGCAGCAAAATGTGGCAGCAACAGCAGCTGTACTTGTGGCAATTGCAAAAGTCAACAAACAACAACAACTACCATTCCAACAACTACTGCAATAAAAACTGCAATAACAACAACAAAAAATCGCAAATAATCAGCAATGATGTGTTTGTGAGGTATAAAGTGCTCAGTTGTGATCAGTTTGCAATGGCGAAAGTTGCTGAGCTCTTTTTCATGCGCCTTAAAATTAATGTTAGTACTTTTGTTGTTGTTCTTTTTTATCCACATCACGTATTTAATTTCATACTGCACATAATTAGTGTCCGATTTCAAACTACACAAAGCATAGATAAGAGTTTTTCGAAGGGTGTTGGAGAGATTTCAATTAAGTGCAGCTGCGGGTCGCAAGTCAAATTTAGTAAGGTCGCTCGAGTTTCCCTGAAGTCGTATCATAGCGTTTATTTAACAAAGACATAGCCGAAAGCGGTCTCCAGATAAACGTCAACTGTGTGGCTGACGGAGTTGGGGACCCATTTCATCAAAAATCGCCTAAAGAAAATAAAAAAAAATATTGGATGGGAATTTCTACTTGGTACTTTCAAGAAGAGCCCTTTGGTATTTAATTTATGTCCTCAGTTTCTTTAAGGCTGCCTACAGGATTTGAAAATTCGTACAAAATTTAGTTTTCACCACTTCATTGAAAAACGACTGAACCAAGCACATCTTTTTCGAGTGTTTAGAACGAAGGCGGAGAAAAAACGATTGCACGTGTTCACTGAGTCCGCAATGAAAAAATCTTACATGACGCTTTTAAAACCAGACAAAACGTCATATTTTTTACAACAATCAGAAAATTCACCCTCGCTGTACTGAGAGTGATGATTTTCGATCTCGCCCGAACAGATTCCATACGAGAAGCCATCAAGCTACTCAGTTCTTCCGGGTCGAAAGACCCATATGCAAATCGCCTATAGTGCGGTGAACGGAAGATATGTCGGTTGAGAGTATTCACCGAGAAATCGTTTTATGGGGACTGTGAGACGATATGTGAGTTTGCAGCTCGAAAGCCACTGCTGTGGTGAGGAAAACCACACCGTAGAAAAAACTTAGAAAATTGTCATTCATTCAACGTCCACTCGTGCCGAAAAAAATATCTAAATTTGCTCAAGGGAACGAAGTGAAAGCATAAAAAAAAAAATTTAATATCAACGACTTAAGCAACAAGTCCACTAAAAGCCACAGTGTGTCTTATCTTTCACATATAAATTATGCAAAAACTTCAAACAGTTTGACCACAGCGGTTCTCTTGCACATAAATTGTTTAAATAAACTGAAATATTAAAAAAAAAAATTATATATGTAAAAAAAAAACGCTTTGCCGCAGACAGTGGTATCCAGATGTGAAGAATGTGAATATCACTTGAAGAAGCGTATGATTTTCGTATACAAACATACATAAATCACGTTTCAGCTGATAAAAAATAAGAAAGCCGGTAAGAAAATGTACGCGGTTTTTGGGTCGTACCTTTGTACCTTTGCTTCTCTGGGTAGACCGGGATGCGGAAATTATTTTTCTTCTGTACTTTTATGAATTTGTAAGAACTCGAAAACGTAGTTTCTTCAGCGTCTCTTCAAAGTAATGCCTAAACTACTCCCCAACAATTTACACAAAACTAAGTTTTTCTTATATATCTTTTATTTTTGAAGCAAGTAAACACTAAGCCCGAAGTTATTACTCAGCTAGTCACCAACTAGTATTACAAACTTTTCAACAGAAATAGTAGTAGCAGTTCTCAGTTCGAAGTAGTTAACAAACTAGTTACAAAATTAAATATGTGAATCTGGCTAGGGTTTTTTAATTTGAGTTTCAAGTTCCAAATAACTGCTAACTAGTTCCCAACTAGTTACAATATGTTCAATAGAAATATTATAAGATTGAATTAGTTGCTGTTGTTGTTGTTGTTGTAACCGCAAAAATATTCTCCAAAGTACTTTTTGGGGAATGTTGCGGGAATGACAGTCCTTGGCCAGATAAAAATCCGGGTCGTTCCGGTATAAAGACCCGACTGTCGCGGGAACTATTGGATTTTAGTCGCCTCTTTCGGCAGGCATGCCTTACCGCGGGTAAATTCTTGAGCCCCTAACCTGCCGGAGGGATTGAGTAATAAATATTACTATACTACTTAAATTTTAAATTATTTTTATCGGTTTTCCTTTAAGTGGCAGCTCCCAGTTCAAAGTAACTACTAAACTAGTGCCAAACTAGTTACAGAATTTTTTGATAGCAAAATGGACATTTTGAAATTAGAACTATTGTAGTTATTTATTTGTAGTTTTCTTCTTCTGCTCGGTTTTTGGCATCAGCTCCCAGTGCAGAGTAGTGAACAAACTAGTCCCCTACTAGTTACAAAATTGATCTGAACTTAGTAATAAAGAAGATCATAAGATAATATTGAAGATCTGAAATTAGTAATAATTATTATATTATACATTCTTACTGCGACTTTCAGTTTGGATTCTCGGCTCAGTCTAGTTTTCAAACTAATCCACAACTAGTTGCAAAATTTCTCAAATATTTCATTATACTCAAATTGGAAGTATTTATAATTTCTAAATTTTTCTTATATTTTCAGCTCACGTTTAAAGTTAAATGTAATTACCAGACTAGACCACGACTAGTTGTAAAATCATTAGTATGCAATTTCTCGACTACAATATTTCTTACAGTGGTTGCTTGTTTTGTAAACAGCTGTTTACGCGATAGATAAGAAAAACACACGCATAGTACATACATACATACATATATACAAACATATTTATGCATATTCACAAGCAACTGAACACTCAGTGACATGTGGATGGTGAAATTCTTGCGGTAAGTCATAGATAGATACTCCTATATAAATAAATTTTACATATAAATACATTTATATATATATATGTATATGTATATATGCATGTGCACATAAGTAATTCACTTATCTCTCACTTTGAAGTGGCACACAAGTGCCACGACTAGCGCCTCATCGGCGCTTTGCACCAATTAGACGTTGTAAAATATTGTGGGAAATGTTCTGCAATGACAATAAGCACATATTTATTACATGCATACTTATATATACATATGTACATATACCCTCAAGTGTTGTTGTGGTTAGTCTGTGATAGCGTTTTAGATATTGATAATTTCGTGTCTTTATGGTAGTTTTCCATTTCGTTCGGTGGGATGATAAATATTATATATACTCGCACATACATGCATATGTGATGTGCATATATCATATCACAATAACCCATGCATATAGTGTATATATAAATAAATATAGATAAATTGAGTTAACAGTAGAAAATCACATAAATTTCATTATTTTTTATTATTAATATTTTTTTTTTGGTTTTTTTTTATTTTACCGCATATTATCGTTATTAAGATAATACACACATATGCCTGTATATAAACAAATTTTTTAAATTAATTTAATTAACTTTTTTTTTGAATCTTACATATCATCATAACTAATAAGTAATGAATTTAAATAATTTTTAAATGAGTTCACGTCTATTTTGAAGTTCGAAAATATCTTCCTTCGATTTGAAGTATTTTACTTTCCCGTAAAATCGTCTCCTTGCGCATTGTTTTATGTTTAAAAAATCTCCCATTTGTTTATGGCTTATATACATATGTACATGCATTTAAGTCATTTCGGTTGCTTTCCGAAAGGTTTGTAGCCATAAAATTATCCTTCTTCGAACTATAAAAAATTCCCCAATTTTCAAGCTCAATCAAGTGCGTACAATAAATAAATTTTTGAATGATTTTTAGGCCAACAAAATAGCACAACAACTGCTAGCATGCTGTTAAGTTCAAGAATGTTGTGATAAAAGAACAAAACAAGACAAAAATCAAAAAAACAAAAACATTCAGTCATGCAATTTGGACTAATGTGGCAATAAAAATGATTTTAATGCAGGCCATCAGATTATATGCGCACACGTACATACACACATGCAAATATCACCACATTAGGGTGTCACAAAACTTCATAAACAAAACTTTTTTTTCAAGGTTTCATACTAACCCAGTGATTTTTTCTTTCTATAAATAAACGAAAATATGTATTTCGTAAACAAATCAGAAGTTGGAAAATATATTTTTAATAATTTGTTTGAAATAAAAAGCAACTCTGAAATTTATAAAATTAACATTTTGAGGGTGTTCCAAATAAAAATAAAAAAAAAATTTTAAATTTTTGTATGAGAAAATCCTACAGTATTGCGCTGGTATGACGCTTTTTTCAAAATCATCCAAATTTTCGGAACAAAATCGAGCAATCCAAATCTTCTTTTACTACTTCAATGAACTGTCAAAAATAAATAAACTAAATAATTTTTAAATTTACGATTTAAATTAAATTTTATAGAAATTATTTTCAAACTCAACGTAAAGATAGTAATTTTTTGATATTTCTTTTCAGGCATTTAAATTGTTTTTAATAGAACTTAATAAGCTTTTTCTTAAATAAATAGGATTTTTTTTTACAAAAATATCAAGTTAAAAATTTCTGAATTTGCAATGATTTATTTCATTTAATTTTAAATTTTATTATAAAGAGTTTTTCTAGAAATTCCGTTCCACCCTAGTGAAATCGTTCACCTTTTCTTCATTTATCACAAATAACATTCCTAATTTTTATGCTTACATTTATGTATCTGTTTCTTATTCAAAATCGGATAAAAATTTTCCATACAATTGATTTTTACTGTTGCTAACACTTTGTCAAATGGATTGATTGATTTATTGCCTTCCACACAAACAACTTATTCATAATCAGCATGTCTTAATTGATCTGTAAGAGTATGGAAAAAAATTATGTTTCTTCGAAGACTTGTTTTATGGTTCGCGCTTCATGTGGCTTTCTCACCTCTATTCGTTTTTATACAAATCTTTTACTTTGCGTTGTTGTTGGACCTGGTTTAGAGGAGTGCAATGCCGAACTTATCGAAAAAAGATTCTAAAAAATAATAATATATTTAAATGTGTAGATACCTGCATATGTATATAGTTGAGTGAAAATATTGTATTTCGTTTCCTTTCTTCGTGGACTTTCGGGTTTACCGAGTGCAAAATATCCGTAGCATACTCTCTGCTCTCTTTCAATATACTCAGTTGCTGACTGCTTTCAATGTTTATCCATTCAGCGAATTATAAGACTTTTCCCATTTTCTTCTATAAGCCAAACTAGTCCCAGATTCAAGTCTGAGGAATCAGAAGTCAATATTAAAAATCGAATTGAATATAGAAACTGATTTTTCTGAGTTGTAAGCCATATCATTTTGGTAGAAATCTTCCTCTCAACTTTAAAGGGATTAAATGGTCTAAGTTTCGTAGACCAAAGCTTCGTCTTTCATAGACTGTTTTGTAAAATGGTGATGGTAACACTGTTCCAATATATCTTATGCCCAAAAACTTTGACTCATTTTTTCTTGCCTTGACATACCCGTTCTTCTTGACGAAAAATAAATTTATTTCGTTCTTTATTTCTGTTCGGTCGTCTGTATTTTCTTTTCTTTCTGAAGACTTTCTTTTGTACCTGTAATTTTTGGCTCTTACTAGAAAACCAATAGATACTCGTCTTCTGGTGGATAGCTCATGTGGATAAGGATGAAATAGTTGGCGATGATTATGATGGGATAAATCTAGTCAATATCATACTTAATATTCTAACATATTGTTCAAAGGATAAGAGAGTGGGAGAGATCGACACACACACTCACCTTTTCGTCGATTTTGAAGCTTAATTCGTTAGCTCGAAAATGAGCTGCATTTGTGCTGCTATGTTTCGACAAGATGTCATAGCTCCGTCCTGCGGTACAGAGGCTTGGACTTTGGCAAAATATGATCGGAAGGTTTCAGGAGTTTACGCGAGAGAGCTTTCGCGGAAGAATTATGGTACATTACTCATTGGCAGCTGCGAGTACCCGATGTACGACAGGATTGACATTCTTCAGCGAATCGCGAGACGAAAGCTACGCTGTCTAGATGATATGGTCAGAATGAATGAGAAGTTACGATGCATGGAAAACGCGCTGGAATCGTTGTACAACTATACAAGGAAACTTCTATGAAGAGGACAGCAGAGTTATAGAATAATTTTGAAATATACCGTTCTCAATACTTAATCGTCAAACCTCGTATCTTGTTATTCGGCTTTATTAAGCAATTCTACTTAACCTTAGCAGTAAAAACTTTCAAATTGTTCGTCCAGCAACGGTTTTTGCACCAGACTTAATACTGGAATTCTCAAAGGTGTAGCTAACCCTGGTCAGAGGACGCATCTTCAAAGGGTGCCTTAGCTTTCTTCAATCCTAAAAATCATCAAAAAGGTCACTATCAAAGTTGCCAAAGAGAGATAAGTCGCGAAGGTCTTGGTTCTAGCTGGCTACGAAGTCCTCCGAAACCGAACTTTATAATATCTATCGAGCATGGATATCGAGTATTAAGTATCGATTACTCGATTACCTTTAATTTCACTCTATAGTGAATTTCCGATTTATTACCGTTTCCTCGGCGAGGCGCGAGCACATTGCTCTAATAATTTTTTATTCCTTCCGCTTCGTTTTTCCAATTATGTTTTTATTTGTTGTTGATTTTTGTTCACCTCCGCATGTAAGTTACCTTTGTACAACAACTGGATTTACATCAAATGGCAGACTGTTTGTCGTTCGACAGTTCGGAGGCAACAAACAGAGTACGAGAGTCAATACGCGGTCACAAATATCAATTCGTGTTTGTTTGTATGTATGTATGTATGTAAATGAGCCGTCCAGCAAAGAAGTTCTACAATCGACAGTTTCTCTGAGTTCGATTTGAGTCAACGTTGCCACTTTTCAGCGTTTAGTTGGAAGTACAAACATACATATGTATGTACATATCCATACAGACCTATCGACAAGCACACACAATCATTCCGAACTCACCAACATAACGACAAAGCGGCACAAAGAAACCACGACAACAACACGCCGACTTAGCCATGATATCTGCCACACCATTGAATGTCTGTCTGTCCATTTATTGGTTGTTTTTCATGTCTATTTTTATTTTCTTATTGGCTATTTGTTGTTGCACTGAAACTATAGCTTCTTTAACACACCACACAAACACTTATTTGTTTGTTTGTTTGTGTTTTTTGCTTGTCTCCAGTACATTTTGTTAATTTTCTTGTCATTTTCATGTTGTTGTTGTTGTTGTCGCAGTGTGTTGCTTTTGAGGGCGCCTTCTCAGCCGTCGTGTTGATAGGGATGTGTTCCGTCCGTCACATCATGACAATTCCAAAATGCCATGCCAAGTCATACGGCATAGCCAGTCAGTCAATCAAGCGGCGGTGGTGGCGGTGGCGGCGGCGGTGACTGCGCTAAGCAGTCAGTGAAACAAGCCAGCCGCAGTCAGCAGTTAGTTCGATACTCGACTTAGGCAGTCGTCAACTCATACTCTTTCTTGTTCTTACATGCATTCTTTTAGTTACCTTGGTTATTGTTGTTGTTGTTGTTGTTCTTCGTATTTCTATTTCATGATATTTATTTTTATTGATTTATTGTATTTTGCCGCCTACGTGAATGTGTCTATGTCCGGTTATGTGTCTCGAAAGCTGAGCTGTCTACACCACACTTACCTGACTATGGTTGATAATTTGCGGGTATATTCTGAGCGAAAAGTGCCATTGCAGAAAGCTACTACTGGAGACAAAGTGGCCGTGGCTCTGTAGTGGAGAAAGTAACAAGGAAAATGACGCTGGTGCTCAGCCATAATCTCTTACTTCCATTGGCTAGTGATCTATGATATATGATCTATGCCAACTCTATTCTTGTGAAGGG